GATGCCATGAAGGCTATGTTAACCAGTTTGATGAAAATATTTCAAATTGTATATAAAAACAGCACACTGTACCCCACGACAGTATTAATGTACACAGCTACAATTTAATAAAGAAAAAAGTAAAAATAAAATGTTAATACAAAGAAAACATATTAAATGCACAACATCATCAGATAGAGAATTTAAAAGTTATAAAACTTCCTTGGTGAATTTCCCCACATGTGCTGAATATATGAAGCATGATTTTTGAGTCACCAAGGTTCCCAAATGTAAGTTTTGTCTCAAGAAAGAAACTCTTCCCAGAGCTATAAGCGGGGGCACGCAGCACTCAGTGCTGCTGTGCAGATCTTTGCACTGGGCTCTCGGTATCTGCCTCTATAAAGAAAAAGAGATTCTAGACTTTGCTCTTATTCCAGAAATAGAAGATATAAATGGGTCTCTTAGGAAAAGTGTTCATGTTCTTTGCAATTTCAGTACCTCCTCAATGGATCAAGTTACTGGGTCATTGATTACCCTTAAGAAGCCAATCAGTCAAAGGCTCCACAATCACAGTGTCTACCAGCAGCAAGAAGAAAACCCATTGTATGGAGAACTTGATAAAGACCACATGTCTGATGCCATCCTGAATTTCTTCTTTTTTTCCTCAGATGTGCACTTTATTTTATTTTATTAAGTCATAAATACAGAAATCATGTATACATTAATGCATTTATGAGGTACAATGTGCTGATTTTATATACAATTTGGAATGCTTACATCAAACTGGTTAACATAGCCTTCACCTCACTTACTTAATTATTGTGTGAAGACATTTAGACTCTACACTTAATAGATTTAACACGTACCCTTGCAATATGTACCATAGGTGAGGTCCCACCATTTACCCTCCCTCCATTCAACTTCCCCCCTTCCTCTCCCCCTCCTTTTCCTTCCTTCATCCTGAGCTATAGTTGTGTTTTATCTCTCATACAAAAGTGTGGGTCATTATAAATTGGTTTCATAATAGTACTTTTTCTTCCATTCTTGAGATACTTTACTAAGAAGAATATGTTCCAGCTCCATCCAGGTAAGCATAAAGAGGTAAAGTCTCTATCTTTTTAATGCTGCATAGTATTCCATGGTGTATATATACCACAATTTATTAATCCATTCATGGGTCAACGGGCACTGGGGCTTCTTCCACGACTTAGCAATTACAAATTGGGCTGTAATAAACAATCTGGTGCAAATATCTTTGTTATAAAGTGATTTTTGATCTTCTGGGTACAAACCTAGTAGAGAAATTGCAGGATCACATGGCAGGCCTACTTTTAGATCCCTAAGTGTTCCCCAAACTTCTTTCTAAAAGGAACGTATTAGCTTGCATTCCCACCAGCAGCACATAAGTGTTCCCTTTTCTCCACATCCATACCAACATCTGTAGTTTTGGGATTTTGTTATGTGGGCTACTCTTACTAGAATTTGATGATATCTCAAAGTGGTTTTGATTTGCATTTCTCTGATGATTAAGGATGATGAGCATTTTTTAATGTGTCTATAGGCCCTGCTCCTGTTTTCTTCAGAGAAGCTTCTGTTCAAGTACATTGCCCACAATGAAATGGGATCATTTGCTCTTTTCTTATTAATAAGTTTGAGTTATCTGTGGATTCTGGCTATCAAACCTTTGTCAGAGACATAACCTGCAAATATCTTCTCCCATTCTGAGGGCTGTCTCCTTGCTTTACTTACTGTGTTCTTGGCTGTGGAGAAGCTTTTTAGTTTGATCAGATCCCAGTAATGTGTATTTTGTGTTGCTTCAATTGCCCTGGGGGGGGATCCTCCTCATAAAGTATTCTCCCAGGCCAATTTCTTCAAGTGTTTCCCCTGCACTCTCTCCAAGAATCTTTATAGTTTCATGTCTTAAGTTTAAATGTTTTATCCAGTGAGAGTCAATTTTTGTTAATGGTGAAAGGTGCAGGTCCAGTTTCAGTCTTCTACACGTTGACAGCCAATTCATCCAGCACCATTTGTTAAATAGGGAATCTTTCCCCCAATTTATATTTTTCATAGGCTTATCAAAGATCAAATAATGATAAGTGTCTGGGTTCATCTCTTGGTTCTCTACTTTGTTCCATACATGTACCTCTCTATTTTTGTGCCAGTACCATGCTGTCTTGATCACTATAGATTTATAGTATAGTCTGAAATCAGGTAGCGTGATACCTCCTGATTTGTTTTTATTTCTAAGTAATGTCTTAGATATTCAAGTTTTTTTCTGATTCCATATAAAATGAAGTACTATTTTTTACAGATCTTCAAAGTATGACAGTGGTGCTTTAATAGGGATTGCATTAAATTTGTATATTGCTTTGGGTAGTGTGGACATTTTAACAATGTTGATTCTTTCCAGCCATGAGCATGGTATGTTTTTCCATTGGTTAACATCTTCAGCTATTTCATTTCTCAGAGTTTCATAGTTCTCTTTGTAGAGATCTTTTTCATCTATAGCAAACCCACAGCCAATACTGTGTATTGAGTGGAGTAAAATTGAAAACATTTCCACTCAGGTCAGGAACCAGGAAAGTTTGCCCATTGTCTCCACTGCTTTTTGACATAGTAACAGAAGTCTTAGCCATCGCAATCAGGCAAGAGAAAGCAACCAAGTGTATCCAAATAGGATCAGAGGAGATCAAACTCTCACTCTTCACAGATGATATGATTTTATACCTGGAAAATTCCAGGGACTCTACTACAAAACTCTTAGAAGTGATCAAGGAACACAGCAGCATCTCAGGATACAAAATCAATACTCACAAATCAATAGCTTTTATATATACCAATAATAGTCAAGCCGAAAAAATAGTCAAGGACTCTATTCCTTTTACAGTAGTGCCAAAGAAGATGAAATATTTGGGAATTTACCTAACAAAGGCCATCTGGGAATTTCATATGGACTCAGGTTTCTAGAATTAATCTGCTAATTTGCTCACCTAAAGCGTAGATGGATAAACATATATAGATAATGAGGGTAATAAGAACTATCTTGGTTGGAAGAAAAGAAATTTTTCTTTATGATACTCCAAGCTTCACTGTCAAAAACTCTGAAAGAAGGTCCAGTTTCTGGTTTAGATATGTGCATTAGCCTGAAATTTAAGGCTGAAAGCCCAATCTCAGTCAACAAACAAGACTTATACTGTTGAAGATTACTCTGAACATCAATCTCTGATTGAAAAAATTTACCTAAGAATGACAATTCTGCTTTTGATATCAAAAGTTAAGTATAAAATTAACTAAACTGACTTTTTAAAAGCTCTTTGATAATACAGGCTTAAAATACCATTCAAAAAATTGATAAATGTTTAATGCCTCACCTTTATTTTTCTTACGTAATTTAGGGAAACGGTATTTTTGTAACAAATTAGACATAGCTATCAAAGAAAATAGCAGTGCTATTTCTTTTCTTTTCTTTCTTTCTTTTTTTTTTTTTTGGCTGGGGCTGGGTTTGAACCTGCCACCTCTGGCATATGGGGCCGGCGCCCTACTCCGGCAGTGCTATTTTTGTCTCAGTGATGTAAGTAAAGAAATCAGGAGGGCCTGAATTCTAATCTGGAGCAACATTGCCTTCCATTTTTGCTTAGGAAAAGTGAATTGTGGCTAAATTTTCAGAATAAATCTGCTTCTGCAGTGTTGAGTTGATACTGTCTGTGTTCTCTTTCTCTAGATCATTGGAGCAGAGATGGGAGGTTCAAACAAACCTAAAAGTCTCTTTAAATAAGAGAACAATTACTGTGAAAACTTAATCAACTTGGTGCATGCAGCTGGGAGGCATTAAAGGTTTTAATTTGAACAGTGTGCCTGTGTGTGTTTTATGCCTCAGTGTCCATATTGAAGACAGAATAATGCAAAATGCTCCCCAGAAGAAAATCAAATGAGGCTAAAACTCAAAGCCAAGACCTATGGACCTTCCATTTCTTTTCTAAATGCATATAGTGGAAAAGAAATAAATTCATGAATTTCAATGATACAATTAGCAATTATTCTCCTTTTGCTTCCTGTTAAATATACCAACTCCCAAGTCTGATTAATTCCCTAGATTTCAAGGAAAGTATTTCTTCCTTCTAGGCCATCAAAGATAAAATTCCTAATGATGAGCTTTGCTGTATTTGAATTTGGAAAAAACTAAGAAGGCCTTCAGGTTTTACAGCCAAATATTTCTCATTTCTATTGTATTTGTTACTTGAAAATCCTATTCTTTAACCAGTAACATTTTTTAGTGTTTCAGGAAAGATTTATAACTAATGAAAATTCTAGAAGATTTAGGTAGGTAAGTTATATCCCAAGGAATAAAGAAAAGATTTAAAGGATATTTAAGGGTAATAATGCATGAGTCAACATTTACTTCATAAAACCATAATGTCATAAAAATAGGTAACACTTTTCCAGTTTTAGGATATTTTGTATGATTAGATTTCAGTCTTTTAATACAAAGAAACCAGCTACTATGCTTGCTGCCAGGTGTTTTGTCAAAGAGCTTGGCGGTGAGGGGCTGACAACTGAATGTGGCCCCAGAGAGTGTTGTATGGCATTATAAATTAACTGCAAGATTAAATGTTATTAATGTGGGGAATCTCCATTTTCCAGCTTTTAGTTTAAATGGGGCATGTGATCCCAGAAAAATTTCCTCTCCCTTCATTGCTGAGAGGGTAAATAATAGTGAGAGAGAATCACAAGTCTGGTTTGCTGAAGGCCAGAAACTCACGCCCCAGCCATTCACTCACCAGGATCAGACTCTCCTGAGAGTTAGTGCCACTTCCTCCCCTCACTCACCAGCCCTCCCTAAGGCGTTGCTAGGGCCGCTTACAGTTTTTCGTAGCAACTGTTTAATAAGCTGTGCCAGAGGACACCCTGGTACGGCTGCCACTTCAGAGCAGGAGCGCACTGGTCCACAGGCATCACGTTTTGTCCCTCACCATCGTGGCTCTGCACGTCGCTGCTCCTACTCGTCACTGCAAAGAAACAAGGGTGAGACCCTTTCTCCAAGACTGCTTCTCCCAGACTCACAGACACCACATGAAGCTGCTCAGTGGACATGTGTGGGACAGAGGGGCCTGTGGAGAGGGTAAGGGCGGGGGAGGGGGTGTGCTGCTGGCCACAGGCCCACGTCTGGGAAAGAAGTGACCTGGGAGTGTGATCTCAGGGGAAGGTGGTGGATGCTTGTTGGAAACTTCATCCCCCATATGTGTCTGCTCTGCTTCCCACATTGCCTTTCCTCACATCCAGTCTATGTGGTTCCACTGACGTCCACTGCCAGTACCAGGGGGGCAGGAGACCCTGCTGACCAGTTAAGGACATCATTCAGCGCTTGCATCAGTGATCACACAGGGGTGAATGTGCAGCTCGGTCCAGTCCACACAGAGTGGATCACAGCACTTCAGGAAATGCAGGGCCAAAGGTGCTCACGCTTTTCCAAGTTTGAACCCAGGAGCTGCTGGCACCATGTTGGCGTGTGAGGAAAGAACCCAACTGGAAATGAAACCAGCACAGCAAGCAGAGGCAGAATTGAGAGCAAAAGGCACCCAGCCCTGACGAAGTGCTCTGAGTTCAGGAGTCCGATCTAAACTCTTGGGTTACAAAAGCCAGTAGTAGATCCCTTGGTGTTGTATGTGTGTTTGATTTTCTTTGCTCAAGGCAGTTTGACGTTTTGGGGTTTTTGTTTTCATTAATTACAACCAGTAAATTCTAATTTTTACAGGTTTTTTGTAGTACCAACACTCTGTGGTCCAACTAGCTTTTTGAACATAGAGGAGTTATTTATTCACTTAAAGTATTACTTTCTTCAGTGGCAAAGTAGAAATTAAAAACGTGTGCCCTGCTGTCATGCGACACTGCACAAGTGGAGAGCGTGAGGGGAGGCCCTGTCAGAGGCTGAACCAAGATAAAGTAACAGAGAAGACCCCGTTAATGTGTGGTATCAGCTACATGAGATCGCCACGTTTGGATGTCAACGATGGTCCAATCACAGCAGTTTCACATGCGCAACTTACTACTTTTGCATGATCTCTGCGAGTTGTACATCTCCATTTGAGTATCCCTTCCAACCCACACAATTTGACCTTGGATAACTTTTATGTAAAACACTACTGGTACATTTACCATTTTCCTTTCTTTCTCACCCCCCAACTGTCACTCATGCCTGACACCAGTGGGCAAAGGGAACTCGGGGGCATTCAAAGACCAGGTGCAGGCCATGGGCAATGGCCCAGGGCAAGGACAGCAGCTCCATCCAATGTCCACTCAGCTGCAGCTGGGAAATGCAGGAGGCAGGGGAAGGATTCCTTTTTCTCATCTAACTTTTCCTGCCTTTATGCTTCCACTAATGACTTCCTAAAATACATAAACAGAACTGCTTCAAGTCTTCTTTGATCCCAAATGTCACTAAAAATGTATTTTTCTTAAAGTATCACTATTAAATGTCACTAAACAAAACATGAATTATCTTAGGCTTTTATAAAGCATCCATTCATTTTGAAAAGATTTAGCAAAATCCAGGAAAACTTTTTCCCAGCTAGGACCCCTGTGGGTGAGCAAAGCAAGGAGCTCCTCCCACCCTCACTCTTCCCTAAGTTACCTGGTCCAAAGTCTTTCCAAAAATGAAAAAGAAACCCTTTTGTGGTTATCCCACTTGCACAAAATTCTGAGAAAGGGAGAAACTAATTCTTCCTTCTTTCCTTTCTTTCTTCTACAATGGAGAGAGGATTAAGAAAGGGTTAAGAGCTCAGAGTTCAGGATCAAGACAGACCTGGGTTTGAACCACAACTCTACCCTGCTTCAAGGCTGAGCCACCTTAGGAAAGTGATTTGAGCTCTCTGAGCCCCAGTTTCCTTGTATGCAAAATGGGAAAACCCTACAACTCCGGTTAGGGTTGCTGGAGGGTTCAATGAGGTAACGTCACAAAGTGCAAGACACAGTGCCTGCCACCAGTAAGAACTTAGACAGTGGTGCCTTTGGGATTACTAGTGGTACTGTCCGCATCACCTGTGCTTGTTTCCACTAAGGGACTTGCTTATCCCTAAGAAGCTTCAGGAGATGCTTCTGTTCCAGGTCCCACAGTACCCCATGTGATGTGAAATAACCAGTCCGTACTCCTGACTGAACACCAGCTAACTCAGGCCCTTTCTTATTCGAGCATGATGGCAAAGTCGATGTGTCCAGATGTGTAGCCAAAAGCAGCTCTGCTCCTCCAGACAGCGATGCAGTGGGTGGATGGGAGGCAGGCAGCATGTGCTCGGGGAGACCAGCATCGTCCACCCTTTCCTGTCACAGCAGCGAAGGTATCAGAGCAGCCACTCCAACAGGGGTGGCAGGTGTGGCTTCCCTGGGAGCTGAAGATCAGCTGGTGAAACGCCAGGGACTGGAAACTGAGACCCAGGCTCACAGTGAGATTCCCGGCACAAGCCTGAGCCTAAGAATGGGACTTAACAACACCATTGCTGACACCTGCTGCTCTGAGTCTATCTACATCAGGGCACTGTCCCAGACACAGCCCCGAGCATTTTATCACTTCATTAAACTACCTACAAGGTCAGAATTCTTTAGGTCAATAAACCAAAGAAGAGTGCACAGATCACAAGTGCACAATTTTATACTTCTTCATAAAATGAATTCTGTGTAACTATCACCAGATCAAGAAATAGGACACTTCTAACCCTGCGGGACACCCCCCCCACATCTCCTCCTAATACTATGTAATTACTCTCCTGCCCAACACTGGCCGCTATCCTCAAATCTACTAATAACTGCAGAGTCTACAGAGGTAAAATACTGTGGTCCAATACGTATGCTCACGTGCTGGCTCCTTTTGTCCAACCATGTTTATGAGGGTCAGCCGTTACGCAGCCAATAGCAGTCCTCTTCTACATTTTCATGGCCTTGTCACACTTTGATGGCCATTTGGGATATTTTCATGTTGTGGTATTATAAATAATGCTGCATGGACGTTCTTATGACCTTGGTGGGCATGTGTACACATTTCTGCTGGGTGCGCTCCTAGGAGTGTAATCACTCGTCGTGGGATATGCTTTAGCAGACACTGCCAGGCATATTTCTGAAGTGGTTCTGAGATAAGGATTCTTAATCTCATGTAGCATATGTGGGAACTGAAGTTCAAAGATCTGAAATAACTATCCCAGCATTACAGCTGTTAAGTGGAAGAGGCGGGATTCAAACCTTCCCCTCCTTGTGCTGGACTGAAGATACCTTGAGAAAATCACCAGAAGAGAGAAGCTGGAGGAGGGGAGCAACGGGCCACGCGCCTTTAGATAAAACTGGCAGCGGGCATTTGAATGCCTTTCAAAACATTGTCATACACCTCACTTAAAAAAAAATCTTGGAAATGGGTAAAGCAAAAATTATTAATTTTTATCATCTGATAAAAATAATAAAAAGTCAGGTTCTGAGAGTCCCAAATTCCTAGAGAAAAGAGGTAATTTTTTGGACTTTGCAGTGTGAGTTTAGCCAGTGTACCTCTCACTCTGGGCCAAAAGCTATGACTCAGGCCATGGAAAATGCTTTCATATTTGAAACTCAAAATTTAAGAGGACTAACACCTCCCAGAGAGGCCATGAACCCTCTTATATTTGGGGTTCAGACCAGGTAGGGCCAGGCCTCGGCCAGCGGGAGCTCATGCCCCAGCAGCTTTCTTGCTAAGCAAGATTTTCCGTCTGCTCACACCAACCGGGTCATCTACATTGTCAGTCCTATAAATGGGGCTCTGGGAACCCGTGGCCATAGTATACCACTGGGGAGACGGTCACCAGGAAAGCCTTGTCAGTTGGTTCAGAACGTCTTCCCCAATCAAAACTCCTGTGCTCCTTCTTCCTCCACCAACACGCTGTTTCCCCAGGACTTTGTGAAAACCCTGGGCCTTGGCAATATGAAATACAGGTGATTCACTGGAAAACGTTTGCTGAAAATATAAACTGTAATGAAAACCTGGCATTTGGATTAAATGAGTCTTTGCTTTTTGTTTGTTTGTTTGTTTTGTTCATTTGCTTTTGGCCTTGGGAAGCTGCTCATTTTCATTCTGGAATTGTCTGGAACCAATTATCTGTAGGCAGTTTTTCAGTGACCCGTGAATAGAACTCAAACAAGAGATGCAGGATTTCCTGTCTGTTGAGGTATTTCAGTTACTCTTCTGTACTTGTTCTCTGAAGACAGTAAAAACTCGGCGCCGTCTCAGGGCAGGCAGCAGAACACTGTCTCAGGATGGAGCTTCACCTGGAATGCCCAGGAGGATTTGAGCACAATCTGGTTTGGTGAGGAAACTCTTGGAAGATTTGAGTGACTTGCCCTGGATCCCTTAGTGAGCTGGTAGGAGAATGAACAGATGGTTCCCTCATCTGGCTAGGAATTTACTCAGCCTTTTATGTTTGAGAATCATAAAGAAGCTGTAGGCTACTGCAGGGGTCCCTGAAGAAATTAGGGTAACCTTGCACAGAAAGGTGGATGGAGAGCTCTGTGCTATCCAAAGAGGGGGCTTTAATTAGCCCTGTGTTGCTGGGGTTGAAAAAGAAAAGCAGAGCAACTGCTGCCCCCAGTGGCCACATGGAAACAGGGAAAGAAAGCAGTGAGAGGTTCATTTACACAGGGCGGATGCCCAGCTCAGCTCCCACACAGCACCCCCTGGAGAGGCTGACGGGTGGGACTTGGCTGAGAGGGTGAAGTCAAAGTCCAGAGCCCAGGCTGGAGATGATTCCAGATGTCCCTCAGAGCATCAGCTATAACCATGGGGCTGGGGCTTGAGCTGACGCTGGTGGCAGGGGCAGCAACCCACACCGTCACGCTGCGGTTCCCCAACTCCAGCGAGGCCACACAGCATGCATCTCCTTTCAGGGTGGTTTAAACCTCTAGAGTTTGGGCAGTTATAGGAGAGGGAGACCCAAGAGGAAAATTTTGCACTTCTTGCCAATCTGACACAGGATAGAAGAGATGGGTCCTGGTACCCTGAATTTGGGGCACTATTCACACTACCCACATTGGGGTATTCACTGTGGCTAATGTCATTGGCCTAAAGTATTATTCTTTTTCCTAGTAAGTGCCATAGCCTTTACTCTGAAAATTCTGAAGTTCAAGTTTTCAGACTCAAGAAGACCAGCTAGTTTGCAACCTTCACCAGGTCTCTAAGTTCAAACCTGGTGTGTCTCATGTTACATATAAAGCAAAAACACTGAACAGGCTGATCACTTGGGCATCAGATGATTCTGATGAAAGACTCCTAAGACCATCATACAAAACTTCAGAGATTTCTGGGTTCTCACCAACCAACTTAACGCCTTCCTGCTCCGCTGGGGAAACCCTCCCAGTCCTGCTTCTCCCAGCGCCTTCCATGAACCAGCAGCATCCACACCTTGTTAGGACCCTAGACTCAGACCCCAGAGATTGGATGGGAATCTGCATCTACCACAACCCACACGTCATACTGTGCCCAGGGAAGGTGACAAGGGTTGCACCGGGCACAACAGCTTCAAGCCACTGCGTGCTGCCCTGCTGCCACAGGCCTGGAGCCTGGGTCCTCTGAGACACATGGCCCCTGGCATTACAAGACTGGCGTTTCCCCCACACCAGAGAGCAAGAACAGCATCTCAGCCTAGGAGCACCTGCGTGAAAGGCATATCAAGAGGGAAGAAACAAACTCTCAGATCCTGTCATTGCCCTCCCCTGAGAGAGGACATTTATAGGGCTGCTCAAAGGCTGGGGGAAACGCCTTAAAAGCTGCCAGGTTCGCTCACTTGGTCTGGAGAGGTGGGCCCAGGCCCCGCAGTCCCTGGCGTCCCCCAGCGACTGTGTGTACTTTCTCTTCTTGGCTGGAGGCAATGGGTCTCTAAAATCAAGAAACCAAAGTGAATATTAGCATTCTTCTTTGTTCTCTGTGTTATGATAAATCAAATTTTAATTTCCCGGGTCTCTCTTCTCTGCTTTCCTAAATCTAATTCCAGTTAGTTACAGTCCCTTGAGCCCTACTCATCTGAAACTTAGGGTTGTTTTTTTTTTTTTAATCCCAATGGATCTGAGATTCACCTACCTGAAAAATAAACCGACATTTGCAAAGAAGACCCCCCCTATGAAGTATCAGTATACATTTTACACTGAAAACTTTTATCACGTGGAGTTTTACCACAATTTTTGATGACCTTTGCTCGTTTTGCCACTCTCTATATCCAGAAAGGGGAATTAAAAGGAGAAAGGGCGAGGAGAGGAGGGAAGAGACAAGGAAAGAATGTGACTGCTTAGTTGACAGACATTTTTCTGGGAGCTGTCCACGATTTCCTGGCAGTCCAGCTGCGGCTGCGCACGCCAGCCGGGCTTCCTCCACCACCCAGAATCTTCCTGTGTATTTCTGACACTGTGGCTTTTCTTTAAATGAGGATCTTGGGTTTAGTGGATTTTTATTTAAACCATTGCCCTAGCCAAGCGCCCGAGGCCCTGCCAGGTTCTATCCGCGTCTCAACATTGCCACCTCCTGCCCAGGACCCGCCGTCCGGTCTGGGTCACCGCCAGGGGCCGGCTGCGCCCAGGCCGCCCGCCACGCCTTTGCGGCTTCTGACCGGTCCCTTTACCCAGGGCTGTGGCACAGGGGCTGCCAATGGCAAGAACAGCTAATTCCCAGGCGGGAGGACGCGGACTGGTCCAGCGGGGCGGCAGGATGCCTGGTGTCCGGGCAGCAGCTGTAAAAGCCCCCGGCGGCCTGGCCGGGGCGGCCGGTTCCGGAGGCGCTGAGCGGCGGCGTCCCGGGCGCGGCTGGCGTCCTCCCGGCGGCGAACCTCGGCGTCCAGCGACGCGCACCTGGAAGACAGGGCGACAAGTGCCCCTCTCTGGCGCCACCCAGCGTCCAGGGAGAGGCGTAACAGAGCCAGACGGCCGGTGGGCGGGACTCACCTTTCACCTGCAGAGGACTGCTGGAGTCCGGTGCAGAATAGGGTGGGGTATCCGGGAGCTGGTGGTGCCTGGGGAATGGAGACGAGCATTGCTCCTTTGTTTCACTCTATTCCATTATATTTTTGTCACAGTGAGAGGCAGCCCCTAGTGTACTGCACCCAGCGCTGGCTGCAGCTGCTGGGTCCGTGGAGGCCAAGCCCATCGTGCCATGCCCAGTGTCACGTCCTGGTTAAGCGAGCGGGCGTTGAGTCCCAGTTCTTCCATTTCCTAGCTAAGCATCCATGGACAAGTACTAACCTCTGCAGGCCTCCATTTCCTCACCGACAAAATAGGGATAATTACTACACCTGTCTCACAGTAGTGTTGTGAGAATTAAGTGAGATAAAGTATACAAAGCCCGTAACAGCTGTGCGCTCAGCTGTGTGCCCAAACACAGTGTGCTCAGCAAAGTTTAGTTAATATTATTGCTTCTTATAAAGAAAATACAAACATATAATGTGATGGATATCCCAATTACAAATTATATGAATGTATAAATTATCAACATGTCCCCAAAATATGTACATCTGTTATGTACCAATAAATTTTTAAATTATTGATCCTTAATATTTCCAAAGCACTTATACCAGGGAGAGGTTGCACACACTCTTAAAAGGAGCTTAGGAGTTTTACAAAAGAACATTTTTTTAAAAGCTGGGAGAAAATAACATTTTTCTGTTCTATATATATTAAAGTAGAAATAAAATTTTATTTTTTAAAAAAATGTGTGACAACTTCCGTCCCAAAAGATCTACAAGTTCCTTGTAGCCCCAAATCTCTGTGATTCTGTTAATACATGTATATATAAGCACCACCATCCTCCACTTGAATCTCTTGCTTAGAGAGTATGTTATCTTGTTTTCTTGGTTGATTAAAATACCAACATAATTCAATGAAAAAAAAGTTTTAGAAACTTTCTGGCCTGAACAACCAGAAAACAGAATTTGGGTCAAATATAGCTGCTGAAAAGTAAAAGGGGAATCCTGGAAAGAAAAAACACAGAGGGGGAGCCCCAGATTCTGTGTATAACTCTGCCCAAGACTCTTGCTGGCTCCTGAGCCATCAATGTGCAGAGGTAGCTACACACAGACAAAAAGAAAGGACCAGACTGAAGTATGGAGACAGAGTGTGCAGCTGGAGTCTAAGTGATCTCCTGCTAAGGCAGTGGTTCTCAACCTTCCTAATGCTGCAGCGTATTTTCATTATTACAAAGGGGTCGTGACCCACAGGTTGAGAAATGCTGTGCTATGGCAAAAGTACTGCAGTAGAACTTCTATAAGCTGACCACCCAAGGGACTGTAAGAAACTGGTCAACATACAGAGGTGGTCAGCCTAAGGAGCTAGGCCTACTGTACTGATATGTCCCCGTGGTGGATGTCGTGCCTATGAAAATTAGGTCAACCTACGGAAGTGGTCAGTGTAGGGAGGTGGTCAACTATGGAGATTCTACTGTGTGTATCTTGTTAGGAGGAATACAAAAGAATCCAGACACTCACAATGTCCAGCTGCTCAGCAAAGAACCAAGAAAATGCAGCCCTGGCAGGAGGCAAAGGGCAATCAATGAACAACCACCCAGAAATGATCCAGATTGACAAGGATATTATAGTGGCTATTATCAATAAGTTTAAGGTAGCAGAGGAACAGGTCCTTGCAAAGTTTAGAAAATACAACTGTTAGCAAAGAAATCAAAACTGTTACAGAAGAACCAAACAGAAGTTCTACAATTGGAAAAATTATAGAAATAAAATTAAAAATTACTGGGGTGGGCTTAAAAGCAGAACTCAAAGATAGATCAATAGACACTCTCCAATCTAAAGAACATAGAGGAAAAAAACAATTTTTAAAAGAGAGATAAAAAGAGATTTATGAACCCGCGGACATGATGACATAGAAAAAATGCTTAAATCCATTACAGTCAGAAACTTCGTAAATTTGGTAACAGATATAAGCTTATGGAGTTTTAGTGGACATGGGTGTAATGTAACATTACACCATACCAGAGAGGATGGGAGTTACATTACACCATACCAGAGAGGATGGGAGTGGAGACAAATGGAAATATATACTTGAAAGTTTTTACATTTTGTATAAAGTGGTGTAATAGTAACTCTAAACTATAAAACGTTAAATAATGCAAAAAGTATAGCTAAATAGATAAAATTAAATTCTAAAAATGATTCAAATAATACTAAAGAAGCCAGGAAAAGAGTTACAGAGGAATCAAAAACAAAAGGGACCCAAAAAAGACAAATAACAAACTTCTGAGGTTTCAATTATCCACAATCAACCTCAGTCCAAAAATAGAAAATTCCAGAAATAAACAATTGATAAGTGTTAAATGACGCAGCATTCTGAGTAGCATGATGATATCATCCTGTGAATCATCCCTTTTTCCATCATACCCACACTATGTACGTGTCCCACCCCTTAGTCCTTCACTAGCCTACCTAAGACAGATACGTCACTGTCACCATGTCACAGTGCTTGTGTTCAAGTAACCCTTACGTAAAATGGTCCCAAAATGCAAGAGTAAGGATGCTGGCAATTCAGAAATTCCAAAGAGAAGCCGCAAGGACAAAACAATATAATGCCGAAGTTGCTAAGATCTGTCGTAAAAGCTAATCTTTTATCCATGAATTGTGAAGAAGAAAAAAGAAATTTGTGCATAGTATAGATCAGAACTAGCCACAGTTTCAGGCATCCAGTGGTGGGTCCTAAACCATATCCCATGGACAAGAACTACTGTACAACAATATCAATAATTACATTAAATGTTAAAAGATTGGATACCCTGATTAAAAGGCAAAGATTATAAGAACGAATTTTTAAAAACCAAGATCCCACTTATGTTGCCTGCAAGAAAACACTTCAAATATAAAGACGCAGGTAAGCTGAAAGTTAGTGGAGAGGAAAATGTGTATAAGAAAGGGAAGTGGTTTCCTGAATAATAGCTCAAATAGACTTCAAAACTAAGAGTACCGCGCTAGACAAAGAGGCTCATTTTGTAATACTAAAAGAGTCATTTCATTAGGAAAGCACCGCAATCATGATTGTTTATACACCTAATATTAGAGCTTCAAAATGCATGAAGCAAAAAATGGTGAAACTAAAAGAAGACACAGACAATTGGACAATCACACAAATGAAGATTTTAACATCCTTCTTTGTCAACTGGCAGAACAAATTAGAAAAACTGAAGAAGTAAAAAGTCAGTAAAGACAGCTCATCAGAGGAATATCTTTAAGAGGGAAAAAAACTGAGGTGTTTTTATATTAAGAGATGTGTTTTTATATTCTTAGTTCTTTTCAGAGAATTTGAGGGAAGAATTGATGGTAGCTCCATCAAAGCCAAGCAAATTGTGAAAAAAAAAGGCAATGATTCAAGAAAAACAAAAAGAAAGAAAACATCACCATTGCAAATTATGTAGAAACACACAGTGATAATAATGGAAGCCCTGGATATTGCCCAAACTAAAAAAACATTTTTTTTTGCACTTTTTGGCCAGGGCTGGGTTTGAACCTGCCACCTCCGACATACGGGGCTGGGGCCCTACTCCTTTGAGCCACAGGCGCCACCCATGTGAACTAAAAATTTTTATACAACTTTATGATATTGGAAGGCTGGGGTTAGACATCAATGTAGGATATGGCATAAGAAAATTAAATCCTCCCAGATGATATTAAGTTCTTCAAATGTATAAAGAAAGCAATATCAAAGCATCATGAGGAATGAGGGTTGATAATTAAGTTCTCAAACTTGTCCTTTGACAAGTATGGTGCTCCATACCTTGCTGCTCCATATCACTGGTCACCTGCAAGTGCATCCCTTGGCCACCTGATGACCGTAGTGATATTCATCAGTGAGATATGGAGCACTGTTTCTAGGATGAGTTTATAAACTCAACTGTCTGCCCTTGTATAGGACAGAAATAGTTACAGGAGCTACAGGAGGAAAGTGACTACTTCTGGGAAAGCCAAACTCAAGGGCAAGGGGGGGAGCGGGGAGAGGATTGCTGGGAATGTTCCACTACAAGCCACATATACGCTGTGGCTTAAATCCTGCACATGCATCATCTATAAATTTCTAATTATAAATTAAATGTTACAATTGTGTCTGAGATCTCACACTTTCACACTCAAGGCTTTAGGCAGATGTTCAGTTACCCTTACAGTGGAGATACCACTGAATTTAATAATATTAATAACAGCAGACAATCACAAGCAAAGATCAATCTATTTGAGCACCCTGGCAGGGCATACTGTGAACAGGGGTGCACGCTCCACCCCGCAGGCCTTCATGGAGAAGCAGAAGCCCCTGTGCGAAGGGACAGTAACGATGTGTTGGTGGTTTTAAAATTTTAAATGCCACAGCCATTCCTTTATTTCATTGTATTTTATTCCCTTCATTGCTCAATGCATTTGCATATATTTAGAGAAATCTTGCAGTTCAGAGATTTGAGGGAAGAATTAATGGTAGCAACCCTGAAAACTAAGCAAACAGTTAAAACAAGGCAAAGGTTGACTTCCAGGAGAACGCTGCTGTTTGGGGTTGTGTCTACATTTCTGACCTCTTCCCTACTCGCAATCACCATGTCAGGAATCCCTGCAAGGCCCATTGAACTGGTTTGGGCTCGTGCTCTAAACGTGTCTGTCATGACAAAGGGATTTCCATGAGGCAGGCAGACACCAGAGAGTGACAGATCCCCTGGGTCACACCTTGAGTGGCCAGCCCTGTCTCTACCTTCGGTAGGAGATAGCTGTGTAAATCAAGAGATTCTTAGCAGCCGGTAAAATAATAATAATAATAATAATAATCTGCTTTCTGGGCAGTGCCTGTGGCTTAAAGGAGTAGGGTACTGACCCTATATGCCGGAGGTGGTGGGTTCAAGCCCAGCCCCATCCAAAAACTGCAAACAAACAAAAAAAAAATCTGCTCTCTAAACCTCTTCTTCTCAGACATACAATTGGTTTTTGTCTTTTGAAGGATAAACAGAGAAACACAGTCCCCTCCGGGCTGGATGCTACACCAA